AAAAACAAAAAAAAACAAAACAAAACAAACGCCAAAAGAAAAAAAAGCTTACAAACTCGTTCATAAAAAAAGAGAGAAAAAAACTACAGTTTGGACCAAGGTCAATATATCAAGAGCTTTCTTGTACCATAATTAAGCCCCTTTAGAAACGGCTTTCTCTTCTCATCAATATACAGTATTAAATGGAAAGCTTCAGTTTTGCAGACAAAGCCGGAGAGTTTAAGTGGATCATTAGTTGATTAACAGGCATGCAAGGAAAAGGGCTATTTTACACGCCGACAACCCTCGGGGTCAGTGAACTGTCTACAAAACTGCCAAAAAAAGTTGAAAAGAAATTTACGTTTCATGGAATTTTCTATTGAACAATTCTTAAGTGAGACGCTTTTCGTGCTTAATCATAAGTATCTTGTTTAAATACATTTATTATATATCAATTGTATGAAATGGAATAAATTCAATTAGTTCCTATCTCGGCGTTTTTAGTTCTGTCGTTTTTCGTCGTTTCTTAATTTTTTTAGTTTTGTCGTGCTCTTAGGATTTTGTTTTGCCTTTTTTATTGCTATTTGCAACTTCCAATTCGATCATGTAACAAAGGTTGTCAGCAATAGCTATTTTAAAATTGTTATAAACATCGTAATACAAAGACGATTTGTTTATTTGCATTTCATTTCATTTTATTCAATGTTGTTTTCGGCAAAGCCATTCAAATGCTAATTGCTAGAACGTTCTATTTTCTCTTAGACACGGAAAAGTGAAACTTATTTAAAATAAATATTTTTTTCTTAAAGTTTTAAACTTGTAAAACGAGGACGGTTTGTTTATTTTTGTTTTATTTTATTCAAAGGTATTTTCAGCGAGGCCATCCAAATCATAGAACGTTTTATTCAATCTTTTAGACACGAAAAGTAAAACTTATTTAAAAGAACTTGATTAATTGTTTGTAAGTTTAAGCCTTGTTAAAAAAAAGAACGATTTATGTATTGGTATTTTATTTCAATTTCGATGCTTAGTTTCCTTGCTCCAAAGTAAATCTAAATCTCTTAATCTTAGCACTTTGCAGAATTCATCTTTAATAAAAAACCTTTTAAAAATAGGTGTAAGCAAGACTTACTTGTGCCACATGATATGATATCAGTTTTTTTTTTAGCGTATAGTTCGATACGTGAATTCAATTCAATTCGAAATTTCAAAGTACCCGGCTGAGTCAAATATAACCGAGCTTATTTAATTGTCATCAGAATTTTGCAATAATTTGAATTAAGTTCAACAATGAAACAACATCAATTATGGTCGACCCAGAATTATTGATATATTTGGCACGAGCGAAGGGCAGCTTTTAAACTAGAGTCATGAGGAAAGTACATAAATTGAAGTCATTTATTTTAACGACTAGAGACAATTAGCTTCAAAGAAATTTTTAAAAGAATAGGAATTTCTTGCTTTTAAGTAAGTGTTAGCATAAATGTGTTTGTTGTTGTTATATTATATCAAAATTTACTTTGAGGTCAAGCTGTGTCTAAAAACGGTTTTAAAATTGATCTGATTTCTTTTCATAGCAAGTGGCTTTTTTGCTGACTCATACAGACTAAGAAAATGAATAAAAAATACGTATCGTATAATTGGAAAATTACGTAACAAGATCCGTGAATGATCGGTAGTTTGACTATTTATAGTGATCTATGTACACTAGAGAAAATGTTTTGCTCATGCTTGCATTTCAGTACTTCTTTAGTTTAATCTCGTACCCAGAGCCCTTATTATTTACTGGGCATGCTCGACGAAATAACAATTATTTTGTCGAGCATGCGCAGTAAGCCAGTGATAAGGACTCTGGCTACGAGAGTGGCTTTAATTCCAAGAATTCCAAGGGGTTTTAGAAAAAAAAAAAATTTTCATTTTCTCCGAATATACAAAACAAAATTGTGAGTATAACTTAGAGACAAAGATACTGCATTAACAAACAAAGCTAGCTGTATGAAAGAATTCAAGAACTGACCGCTTTAATTAGTTTTGGCATTTCATAAAGTTCATTTTGTAAATCTATAAAGATTAAAGTGCTACTCTGACGA